ATTGTATATTGTTTACACTTTTTCACATATTTTAGCGTTCGCCACATTTTATCGTCTTCAACTTACTTCAACATATTTATGCTGATTTGGAAAACTTACTCACTTGAAAATGACCTCACAGAGGTCGAAACGTCGTGTCTTCTTAGCGCTAGCTTTCATTTCAAATATATAAAAAGAAAATTTTTGTGGTTTGCGATGCATTTACTTACTGTCATGTTCACATGTTTTCCCATCTTCTCCAAGGGTAAAATGACCCGGGCATGCGCATTCACTTCCATTAGGAGACAACAAACAAATATGACTGCAATTGCCAAGGCAAGAAGAGTTTCCTTCGGTTGAAAGAAAGATATCGGTTAATTCGCTAAATTCAGACACTGATTTTAATGATAAAACAATGTAGATTTTATATCAACTTTACAGGACCATGGAGCCATTCTTTGACACCGTAAGACTAGTATACAAGGTTCTGAGCCAGCCATTCGGTCCTTGGTTACAGAACATTTCAGTAAAGTGCGTACGCTTAGGCTCTCAAGACAGGATCTGCCCCACATGCTTGGGCACTCACGTACAAAGTCAAAATCTCTAGCGTCTTAAGTAAATTACTGACAACGAATCCAGGCTTTTAAATTGCAACACTTATCCAGTACAGTAAATTTTGAAAACAGCAATCTAAGTTATGTGGTTCCAACATTGCAGTCAAAAATATGCTACAAGTGAGAAAATCAGAGAACTTGCATTCTTCTTAAAATGAAGTAAAATGGATTGTTCTCACGGCACTTAGAGATGGGCAGTGCCAGTGTACGTGGTTTAAGTTTCTGAACTCAATCACACGATCACTCTGTACTTGTGCAAACAAATGAAGAGAACATGGAAGAGAGATGATATGAGTAAAATGATGAAAGCTTGGTATATAAGAAAATAACGCGCGAGAAACGTTAGCGAACCATATAACCATTACTTTGTAGTCTTCTGAGAGCGCGCCTTGATTTATCAATTGGCTCGTGCGCAATAGAACTATCCACAGGCAATTTTCCGACAGCCTGTTTTGCAATTTGTAAGAGCATCGTTCCCATTTCAGTTAAGAAAATGTTTGGGAATAGCTTGCACCCACCCCTGACGAAATCTCTCACGAACTTAAAAAAGTTGCGCAGGGACAATTTGGAGGAATCCTTCAGACGGAACAAATATTATTATGACTCTTCTGATGCTTGTTTGCTGAGTGAACACACAAAAAGAGACATAAGCTACACCAAAGGGACCAAAGATGGAAAGCAATATAAAAGATTAATTTTTTTACCTGTTGTAAAGGGCTCACTAAGGTTGTATCCACGAATGCCCTGAAGCCATCCAGTGCTGCTGATGAACTTGGTAATACCATTACCAGTCTCTTTATCGGCTCGATAAACACCCCTTGAACTATACCAGGTCGAGGTCCAGTACAAGTAATCTCCGAGAATAGTTAAACCAAAGGAATAATATAGGTTGTAAGAATGGCTTAATAGCACCACTCTCTTATTTTGATTAAAATCCAGATATTCTAAATTTCGGTATCCACCATCGAGCCAATACAAGCGGTTTCTCTTTCTGTCAAGTGTGAGACCGTTTGGCCGAGACAGTCCTGAGTTAACGATAACGACACGTTTTCTACCTGTCATTTCAGCCTTCTCGATTTTTGGGTTACTCCCCTGGTTTGTCCAGTACATCACTCTATAAGAAAAAAATTATTTTGCGAAAAAGATTTGTGAGCGACTTGCTGACAACTTTAACTAAATAGAAAGCAACCAAACACCATCCATAAAATAACAATCAATTAAACGTAATTTCTCGGACATAACTAGCCTACAGATATAAGTAAATTTGAAGGGTGCCTGTTCCAATCGCCACTACACCCAAAGCAGCTTTTAAGAAATTTCTTTTAAAAAAGCTCGACTTTGAAGTGTGTTTGGAACAACGGCTAATTTAGATGACATACCGCTGGCAAAAGAGTATCGAAAATAAAATTCTGCATAGACGTCTAAGGAATCTGTCCCAATTAACATGCTGCTACCAACTTTTTGCTTCAGGTAAAAGGGCGTACTTTCATATGGTTGTTTGTTTTAAGAAAAGCTTACCTCCGCTAAATTCCATTTGAAAATAAGAAATTTTGTAAGTTAGGCCATAACAAGGAAGTAGACTTTGATGCCGTGGTTTTCCATCGAAAATCTTAAGCTTCTTGCATTATAGGTCACGCCACCCAGTATATAGACCTCATTCCACGGCTTAACATAAAATACGCGCGGCTATTTTGTGAGTTGCGTTGAATTTTTCTGAGCCGTTTTAACACCTGGAGCGGTCCATCCCCTTGCCTATTTCACTGTTTTACTATGCCATCCGCTAACTGTATACTAACCCCTTATAAACATCCAAAATTATGTCCCTGGGTTGATTTATGTTATGTGTCATAAGAGCCATCCGACGAGAACCGTCCAGTTTAGAGACTTCCAACATACTTTTTCCTGCATTGGTCCAGTAAAGATTTCTTCCGACACTGTCCACAGCTAGTCCGTACGTGTTATACAAGTTCGTGTCAGTAATGATCTCTTGCGAAGAACCGTTAAGAAATGCGCGGGAGATCTTCCCATACTGAGTCCAATACAATCTGTCTTCTACTTTATCATAGTCCAGCGCGATAGGACTATTGATGTTTGAAAACGGCAATCGATTACGTGATCCAGAATCGTGCGGAGAGACCCTCATTATATGGTCAGTTGAGTAATCTACATAAAGCAGGATCTCTCTTTGAGCTGTAAAAAGACATTCACATGCATTACAATGGCTGTACACAACAATAAAGAGGTTTGTTTTAAGAACCACTAATACAAAGCGCCTTTTTCTGGTAGGAATCGCCGCCTTTCTAAAAGAAAAAAAAAGGCAGTTTAAAACTACATGTGGCCACTGATAAAGCACATTCTTAAAAGCATTAAAAAAGAAAAAGAGGTTGTATAATGACGCTAGAAGGTACTATTGCAGAAGATTTGTGTTCACACGCAAAACAGAAAAACCTGCCGAATCCCACATATTTATGAGTACCCTGTTCCATTGCCGACTCAAGCTCGAACAGTTTCCGAAGATATGGACTAATTACACTCACTCCGAAGATTAAGACTATGTGCACTCACTCTTACAGACAAATAGACAGTAACAGAGTGGCTACTCTCGTAGATCAGTAGCCACAATAATGAATAGTCTTGCGATACCTTCAAGATATTTTCCTTCTGTTCATTGAATCCAGTTGATTAATTAGCGGTATCCTTTTTGACAATTTTGGACGGTTTAAACAAAATTATTTGCCTCCAACTAAAGGAATCTGTCTCCTACCTTTTGTATATTGTTCATTTTGAACCAAAATGCTAAGTCAGCGAGGAAAGGCAGGAACAAGATCACAGCAACCGAAATGTATCGAGCAGTAATGATAGTGAATTTGAATATATGAAAATCATGTATGCGTACTGCGGTTTCATGAAATGTATGAAAGCGACCCTCGCAGTAATGAGCCCGAACCCAACTTATGTAGCAGTGAAAATAAGGCCTGAAAAAATTCAGACCCGTACAGTATTTGAACCCATGACCTCTGCGATACCGATGCAGTGCTTTACCAACTGAGCTAATATGCCAACTGGGAGCTGGTCATTATATTGGTTCGTATTAATACGAACTAACATAATGACCAGCTCCACTATAAGTAGGGTTCATTACTGCGAGGATCGCTTTCATACAGTACTAAAAATACTATCCGGTAACTTTCATAATAATAAACGGGTCTTTGTGGAAGAATTAGAAGTTTCAATGGAAAATTACAAAGTCTCCAGCGATCAGTATAGGACGTAGCTTGCTTCTCGGAGTCGTCCTATTTGACCCGACACACTCAGCAAATTTGATTCTCCTTCTTCCTTCCTGCCCCTCTTTTGGTTTATGTGTTTTTGTAGTACGAGCACCTATTGCCTTTTTTCTCTTGCCGCCACATTCGCTTCACAAATTTCAGATCTGTTTTTTTTAAGCGAACTTTCACAAAACTCACTGTCAGACCAGACCCAACAACCAAAGTGGAAAAATTGCGTGGCAGAGGTTCACCAGTTACATAAGCCTCTAAGAGATAACAACTGCTTGCTCCCATTTAAGTAAGATGAGAGATATTATAATATTTTCAATGCACGCCACTTTCTGTTTTATTTAACCTGAGGTTTATAATGTATGGTTATAATTTATTACCTCCACAACCTTTTCCGTCATCTTGAAGATTGAACCCCACAGAACACAGACATTTTTTCCCACGGGGTGAAAGTAGGCAGAGCTGATCGCATCCACCATTTTTGTCGGCGCACTCATCCGTTACTACCAAATAAAATTGTTAGGTTAGTACATCTTCATCACTTTCAAATATTACACAAATTGTGGCTTAGAAGTAAAATGGGAACAGAAAAAGAATGAGTGGAAAGGGCTAACGCCATAAAAAAATGAGAACTAAAGATAAATATTTAACGGTGAACGGCTGTTTCTAATTGGTTTAGAAGTAGGGGAGAAATAGAGCAATCAGCACAAATGCAAACTTTCTTCTTAATGTACACATCAAAATCAAAATGATGATATGTACACTGATATAAATCAATTTTTTACGGAATGGCCCATGTCACCTACAGAACGTGTGACCAAAAGGTAAAACTACTTTATGTCAAATGCATGTGACGATAAGTACATTGTGAACCGAGGGAAAACCGTCCATGTTAAAAAGCAACAAACAAGCAATAGGTTCTACCTAAACTCGTGCTCAAAAAGCACCCAAAGTTATGCCCCTACTACAGTAAGTCGCGCATGCGAACTACCATTTTGCGTACAACACGACGACCAGATCTTCTGGACTTGGTTGCGTACCGTGCATCTATTCTATAAATACGATACTCGAGTTTAAAATACCTGGAGTAATATTCATGTTCTTATCGTACGCATGAATTAACCCTGGCTGAGAGAAAGTAGATAGGACTTTTGAAGCGTTTCTTCCTGTGTCTCGGTCCGCTTGATATACTCCATTAAGACGCTGATCAGTCCAAAAGAAATGACTCTCGTATAGTGTCAGCCCCAGTGGAGATTTAAGAAATGGTTCCCCATATGAGTTGATTATGGTTCGTCTTGTGTTGGAGGGAATCTCGTACACTTCCAATTCTCCACGAAAATTATCGATCCAGTATAACCAATTCCTCTGAAAATCCAGGGTAAGACCGTTCGGATAAAACAGCCCTAAACGAACAATTACTCTTCTGTTTGTGCCATCCATATCAACTTGCTCAATCTTTTCGTTCCATCCCCAGTCTGTCCAATATATGTATCTTTTTGTGAATAAAAGCAAGCAATATAAACCAGAAGTAAAAAATAAAAATTCAAATGAACAAACAAACAAACAAACAAAAAAAAAACAGGAAAAAAATAAACGTCTGGCAGAGAGTCATTTACATTGACATTATCTCTTAATGACGTTAAGTAACTACTGGTATGGCTCGCAAGGTAACTAACCAGTAACAGCTGACTAAAGTCAGTACAGTCTGACAACAAACAAAATCACTCGCATCAAAAAATTGGCTAATCATTTTCCACATCACCCAGATTTAACATTACAATGACAAGCATCTCTTCTCTCGTATTTTGTCTGCCAAATTGACGAGTTTACTGATTTTTGAAAGATGTATGCAAGTTAAAGGCTTAAAGCATGCTAATTTTAACGGAATAATCTGTAAAACATATAGAGTGAGATACGTTTATATACCCTCTAGTGACGTCCAAGATGATATCCCTTGGATCTTGCAAATTATCACTAATGAGTACTCGTCTGTAGTGTCCATCTGTGGATGCTACACCAATAACTCCCACCGCACTGTCTGTCCAGTAAATATTCTGACCAAACGGATCTACAGCAAGTCCATACGGGCTCTTAATTCCACCTGTGACCACAGTCTCCTGAGATGATCCATTGAGATACGCCCTGGAAATTGTTCCCAGTGATACGTCTGTCCAGTAGACTTTTTCTTCCACAAAATCAAAATCCAGTGCTATAGGTTGTGACGCTGGTATTTTCAGAGAGATTCGGCGCGACGACGTTGCGTTGAAAGCCATTTGTCTGAGGTTTGATCCCTCAGCAAAGAGAAGAAATCTTTTAATGTCTGAAACTGAGAGAGAAAAATAATTTTAACGGGGTATGTCCTTTATCAATTTTTCAGGTAATGGGGAAGAAGTGGAATTCAAGTATCCCAGATATCATGCATGAATCTAGGTGTTTAGATTTATGGGGGTGTTGCGATATAAAAATAACCTTTTTGCCTGAGTTCTGCCCCTTTTTTTTATGCAAAACGTCAACCCTGTCAGGAATTAATTTTCATTGAGTGGCTTCCACATCGATATCACTACAAGCAGCAGCCGTCTTTTTACAAAATAGCACATGTCGGTAACATATATATCGATTGGCCTGAAGGTTGTTTCTATCGTCCCTTTTCAAAAGCGCTAATACTGACAGTCTTTTATTACAAAACTGATATATTTCAGAAGCATTTTCATTGGTATTTTCCAACTGGAAAGAGGTGGGGCAATAAAGGAGGAAGAAGAGGAAGAAGAAGAAGAAAATCGGGAAATGATCGCCAAAAATAGAGCTTAAGTTGAAAGTGGCCGGCAATCCCTTGGTTTAACTTTTAACTTTAACTTTAAACTTCATTTATTGAGGGTACATAATTATAGTAAAGAAACTGTACTTTCCCTTATAGCCCTCACCTACCCATCCCATCCCATCCCAGGACATCCACCACACAGTAATCTTGTGCGTGGGAAATTAATGTCTCCTACTCCTAACCTTACAGGAGACAGGACCTACGGTTTATTCGTCCCTATCCGAGAAGACTAGAATATCCATCCATTTCTTGATATTATAGAAAGGTAGCACAGTCTCCTCAGTTATTTTAAGACCCTGAGTGTTGGTCCGGCCGGGGCTTGAACCCTCGACCTCCCGCACAACAGTCCGGCGCTCAACCAATTGAGCTAACCGGGAGGCGGGTAATGCGATATCTCGAGACCTAGCACTCGCACAACAGAAAAAGAGGTTAAAATAATGTTGCAACCATATCTTTATTTCACTTGAACTTTGGTTCACAAAAATGGAAGAATAGAAAAGTTATAGGCTCGCTACCCACCTGCACAGATAGGCAACCATTTTATTTTGTCATGGAGTGCAAAGAGTTCGCAACTTGGAGCGCTGCGCGAGGATATCTTTTGAACGGCAATGATCGATCTGACCTTCCGTACTTAAAACGGTTCTCTTCCTTTTATTACTTAATACTGCTTTCCGTTTACTTTCGCGACGTTTCTTTAAAAATTTCTAGCAACCTCTAAACTTATAAGCACTCATTAAAATATCACTTAGGAAAAGAAAAAAGTCTTACCTGGAAGGCAGCCTTTTCCATCAGTCGACAAAGGAATGCCATCAGGACAGGCGCACAAAGATCCGTTGGGCGTCAAAAGGCACAAGTAACTACAGCCGCCGTTGTCTATCTTACAAAGCTGATTTTCTAAAAGAAAGAGACCCTTTGACGTGAATTTCAAATTTCACAAACTTTCAACTGCCATTGTAATTGCACTGAAGTGCAGTCCCTTTTAAAATAATTACGTCTCTTTGTTCAATATTAATTGCAGGAAGAGAACATGGCTCTTTTCATCTAAAAGAAACACGAAAGAAAAATGTAATTGTCTGCCTTTCTTGTGTACCAAAATTAACTGTATTTTTAGTTTTCAAATAGTCTCTTTAAAAGCATAACATTCACATATTTTCGTATTTTATATTACCATATCTTTATGCTTAACAAGGGAGGCAAAATCATATTCCAACCTTGCCTGTAAGAGTTCCCAACAGTACATCAGGCTAGATTTTTATCAACAACAAAAAAGGGCTCATGGTCTAAATAAAAGACGCATCCTTTAAATAGGACGATGTTCTTGGGAAACTGAAATGCGTAGCTTAACCTTTATTACCTGCTGAAGCTGCTTCTCTTGATTTATCAAGTAGACTGAGACCATAAAAATTGCCGGAAATCACAGCGCTGAAGTTTCCTAAGTAATCGCCTGTTGTCCAGTTAAGCATCTCGATAGCATCTTCTCTCCAGTCGCTCCAGTAAAACGTGTCGCCATAGAGAATCAAGTCACGAGGATGCATGGACACTTGAGATGCCACCATCCGTCGACTTCCTCCCTGCAAGTCAGCCGACTCAACTACACTACTAAAGGCATCAACCCAAACGATGCGATCATTGGTATAGTCTACGCAAATAGCATAAGGCCAGAACTGAGATGATTTGGTGAGATCGACCAGGACAGTTCGCTCAAAGCCAGCCAGGTTTGCTCGTTCAATCTTGGTAGTTAGCCCCACGTCTGTCCAAAACATCCATCTGAAGGAATTAGATAAAGGGGGGAAAGAAACTGGGTTTTTTCTTTTATCGTACCTTGTTTTTGCTCGTGCTTCGCCTTCACAGCAAATTAAGGAACGACTCATTCCACGTTACAGATTGGAAATTCAAGACTGGCTTTGTAAATATAAATGACCATCGTCGATGGCCGCTGTTAATTTGTAAAACTACTACTGTTTTCAATTAAAATAATTCAGAGATAATGAGATAATACTCTCATGAGAGCAAGAGAAAATAATGTCCCATTATTTTCTCATGAGGAGCGTTAATTCATTTCAGACTCAAAGTAAGTCGGCTTAAAATGAACGTGACCATTTAACACTTTTTACCCACCCTTTCTTCGGGTGCACCGCTATTCCAGCTGGATAGCTCGAGGACTCGGCTAAAAGCACCTTTCTTTTAGAGCCGTCTAACGAAGAAACTTCAATCCTGCGGTAAAACGTATCTGTCCAGTATAGTAAGCGACTTTCCCATTCCACAGCAAGGTCGCCGACATTTCCATGGTCCTCTGTAATAATGTCCTTGGTGACACCGCTGGACATGTTCATACGTTTGATGACCCGTTGATTGGAGTCGCTCCAATAAAGTGTTCTTTCGCTTACATGGACATCGAGATTGACTGGGAACGTAAGATTGGATACAAGTTTGACCACTCTGGAGGAAGCTAACTCAATGGCGTCAATTCTGTTCTCAGCAGTGTATATAAGACACGGCTCAGAACAATTTTCCACGCCTGCAAAAAAAAAAGTATTTAACCAAAATAACTTGTGAAAGATAGGACTAAAGAACATGTGTCTGTGAAAGTATTTCTTGCACATTTGGGACAAAGTTCTACGTGAACGTGACAGATATAACCTCATAGATAACTTAAAGGTTAAAAAACGATCTTGCTCTCAATAGAGTCACTTCGTTTTCGCTTTCATTTGGATCACTTTTATCAAGATCAGTTCGTTTTCGCTTTCGTGAGGATTAGTTCGTATAAGCTTTCGTAAGTATAGGGGCGATAAAACTCAGTCTTAAACAACTTGAACCCTTTCAAGTACTGTTAGAGTCTTGAAATCTTGGTGAACTGTCACAACAAAGTAAGTGAACATGTCATCTAGAAAGAAGGTAAACTGCAATATTTGATCGAATGGCAAGGCATTCCTCTGAAAAGAAGGAACTGTTTCTCTGTAGGATCCCTGGAAAGAGTGTCAAAGATAATTATTTCAAATTCACACTTACAACAAGGTTACCACAGCTGCAGTACAGGCTCTTGAGAACATTCTCAATACAGTAAGCTTTCTCTTCCAGTTACTCAAAAGCGACTGCAGTGATACTCTCACGACTGAATCATTACCAAGAATTCAAGATTTATCTTTCTTGCAAAGTTAAAAAAAACTCTCTATGAGCCATCTCCAACCGTAAAATTTTAGAGGGGATGCTTAACCAAATGGGATTATTTTCAAACTTTGCCGAAAGGATCTTGATATTTTGACTAAGTCACATAAGAAAAGGTCGCATGACAGGCACATTAAGCCTAAAATAAGGATGTTGCTACAAGCCTGGGTTTTCCCTCTGGTAACGTTAACCATGATTTACGGTAAAATCCCAATAACTCAAACCTGCAAGGGCAATTGAGTCAGCTTTGAGTTATCGGGAGTTCGAGTTATCGAGAGTTGAAACTAAGGACCGAAAATAAGGGGGAAAACAGTGTTTACTGTTTTTTTCTCTTCACACAGCATACATTTGATTAAAATTCAACTAAAAAGGAAGTCGAGTGCAAATGGAACGCTAAATTAATGCAGAAATCACCACGTGACGTAAATGTTTGGACTGCATTACACTGTTCGTTTCAATTTGTCACGCATTGTCAGGCGCGGTTCGGCGTGGTTTGGCGTGGTTCGAGTTATCGAGGATACAACTGAATAGAGAATGATCTGAACGGAACCGAAGATCGCTGCGGGTTAGCGGGTCAGGTTCGAGTTATTGAGGGTTCGAGTAACCGAGAGTAAAATTGCAGTAAATTTATGGAGGAAATCCAGAGGAACTCGATTTTGGTTTGAGTTAGTATGGGTTTGAGTCAACGGAATTCGACTGTAGGTCAAAAACTGATCACAACGAATTCTTGTACGCCATTTCTAAGGAAACAAACTGAAAGGCGTATAGGCTTAAATCCCTAAATAAATGATGTATTGAAAAATTAAAAAAGGCCTTGTGAGCCTTTATAAAGGGTTACAGAAAATATGTCGTTTCCGGATCAATGCTAGCATTTGACCAACTGCGCACCGAGTCCTACCCCTCCCCTAATGCCTTACCTCAGTCTATTCAAACTCACCTTGACTGATAGACAGCGTAGCGAAAATCATAACTGTAAGTAAACCACGATCAGCCATCATGCCAGAATACATTCCTTCAGGTCCAACTCACTGAAATCGCAGCTATTTGGTTTTAAAAAACGTTAATAACACATGTAGGTGACGGTTTTCAAATACCTAAGAAACGAAGCTATACTCAAAATATAATGCGGTATCACTAATCACTGAAGTCAATTACAGGCTTTTACTTGAGGTACAAGAGCGCAGAGCATGTCATCACGATATTACCACTCCACAAGTCTTGAATTCAGCCAAAGTAAATCATTCGCTGTTCTCAGCAAATCATCCTGACCTTTCACTTGATCAATGACGCATATTTATTGTTGTGATACGGATCCGCTAAAAAAGACAATCCAACGGAAATTTGAAACATCTGAAACACAGATTAACATAATCGCTTCAACTGTCTTTAAGTGCACGAAAACTGTTAGTGCACGGTTAATTTTATGACACTTATATTACGACATATCGACAAGTGGCAATTCCTGATGAAAATCAAGTACAAAAAATTCAATCATAACATTTCAATTGTCATTGTTCACTTTCAGAGGAAAATGCCCAAGGTGAGAGGTAAATAAAGAAAACAAAACTGCCGCGGACATGGTTGAGTCAACAACAACACTTAAAAACATATTGAATTCTGAGAATTATAGAGGTCAAAGAAGAGAGCATATTTAGAGTCCTAATATTTAAAAAAATACACGGCACCTGAACTGCAATTCATTATTTGCAGCGAGAAGTACGAAATGTTGAACCCATTTAATCATAAATGAAAGTTACTGATCGATTATCAAAAGGTCTTAGTCAGTAGCAAGTTCATTCCAAGGTCATAGGTACGATGAAAAAAAAAACAAGTGTCTGTCCCGACACTTCATTCAAGGCATAACAATTATAGTGAGAGTGTTAATCTGATGGTGACATACCTCTAAATGACACAAGCAGAATCAGAGGGTAGAGGAAACTTTGCCAGTGGATCCAAATTCAGAAAAGCAAAAGTAAACCCATGGCTTAGATTTTGAAATAACTGAATAGTGCAAAACCGATGGAAATGTATACTGGAAATTAACACTTTAAAAGATATTAGGTCAACTTCAAAAACGCATGTTGCACGCCTGTGCACATTCCCAAGAGAGTAGTTTCACATTCTGCAGATCTTCAGAAGGAAAGTATTCGACCCGCGTGTTAATTGAAAAAGCTTGTGATTTTGATGGATCGAACTGAAAAAGATAACCAGAACAGTTTTCCCATATCCTTGCGCCCGGCTAAAATTCATCTCGTAGACCGCATTACTCCACTGCATAGTTGCAGAGAAACAAAAAATGTCTTACCTTTGGTACAGTTTGTAGAGCTGACCACCAGATACCTCTTACAAGCAGCTGATGTATTTGAGAAATAAGTAAACGAGACTCTGCTGGCCCGTATTAACAAGACAATTGGAGCGACGACGTCAACTTGAGTGACGTCTGGAAAAGGCAGATTTTGCAAGGATTACCTTGCCCTTTGACCAAAAGTTTCAAGTGTCCTTCAATGAAATCTTAAGGCATTCTGAGATCATCTGCATGAAAATAATCCCTATTTTACACATATATTTGAGGTCATTCAGGGGTATCATTTTCGTTGAGTGCTTTTAGTCGTTTTGATCGCAAATTGTTCTGCTGAACTTTGTAATAACGACGCATTTTGTGATAAGCTTCGCATTTCTTCATAGGCATTGCAGAGTTTTGTAATAATGTCGAGCTACGTATTTTTTAATAAAGGCTGCACCATTTTGTAGTATTCGTCGGTCTACACAATTTGTATCAATATCTCACAGCAAATTATTGTAATATATTTCTCGAATCTTGCAATATAGTATTATTCCACAGTTTGATTATTTGTGGTTCCCTGACGGATGCGAATAAAGATTCGTCAAGCAGCAGTTTTGGCGGGACGCACTGCTCAAACACTGAGTTACGTAACAAGTTAATATTTCCCAGGAAACATTCCAACAGCTGTTCCGAGATATCGCCGATGTATCAGGCGTACTTTGTACTTCATGGCAAAACTAAGGTTATTAAAATTTGCGTCAAGACGTTGTTACAAATTGCATAGAACGACGATTTTTATAAAATGCTGCAGATCTTATTTCAAAATGCGTAGCTCGCCTTCAAAATACTGCAGTATCTATTTCAAAATGCGTAGATCATAACAAAATGCCGCAACCGTTATCACAAAATGCGTACGTAACTACAAAGTCCGTCGTTATTAAAAAAACGTCGTAGAACACAAATATTTTCCGTGTAAAGACCGCTTTTACTCTGGCTATGGTCGAAATCTAACGAAGGTTTGGTTCTTAGTAGCAAACCAGAAATTTCCGTATCAAACGAATAAATATTTTTATTTGCTTGCTTACCGCTGACAAAAAACCGAGAATTACTTACACAAAGTGTGGGTATCGGCAAGCCGTTTTTTTTTTCCTTCTACGTTACGACAGGCACGAGTTGAGAGGGGGGCATTGGGGCTTGTGGTTTTGGCCATTTTTTAAAATCGGTTTTTTGGTTTTTGTGCCAAAAAACGTTGGTTTTTCCGGTTTCGTGGTTCATTGCGTTTCGCGGATTTCCGTTTTTAGCATTTGGTTTTCGGTTTTCGTCAAAAATTTTGACGGGCACTCGGATTTGGTATCCGATATACTTTTTCGGTTTTTTTTTTTATTGGGGTTCCGGCTTCTCTTCGATCTGAGCAGCAGTTATACGTCTCTACTGATCTCGAATAACCGCGAAACCTATGGTGCTCCACTTGTAACCACAGTATCAGATCGATTGGGATTTTGACAACTGAGATGTGCAAATTTATCGGTGTGGACGGTTTTGCATGCGGTTTTCGGTTTTGATCGAATTTTTTTGCGGGTTTGCGGTTTACAATAGACCCCAATGCCCCCGTCATATAAAATAATACTCTTAACTCCAACACCAAAAATGTGAAAATCCAGCTAGTCCTTATGAGTTCCTTTCTGTCCCAGTCGTTTGCTAATTCCAGGGGTCCCAGTAAAATCAAGGGTGAACTTGCGAGAAGCTGCATCGGAATCATTCAGTTGCCCGTGGCTTGGAGTTGACACACGAGCTGACACCGGAACTGGTGGATCGAAGACTTGAAATTCTCCTACCGTGCGAATGAAGAGTAATTACAACAGTACATTAACAAACATAAAATAATACCAAAACTAACTTTTAACAATAAAAACATCTTCATTCACAACTTGCATTGGTTTCTTCTTTACGTCGGTATACAATTTCATTTCCAACGCAGAAATAGAGTTGAAACTTAGAAAAAAGGTGCAAGTCACTAAGATCCCGTAGACTGGATAGAATTACAAGGCTCACAATTTCCACCACCCTCTCCCCACCACTCCCCCCTAATACTATGATTACTTTTTTTTTTTTCCACTTCAACGTTTTGGCTGGAGTTCACCATTGCTCTGAGAAGGGGGGTTGAGGCGGTGTCACGAAGGGGTTTAAAGTCGAAAGAGAAATTCGGAAATCAAATGGAATTTCACAAAGACCGTTATGTTACTCAGCGACCTAGTAGAGTTTACTTACTTTCTGCAGGGTATCTCACATCAGCAGAACTGGCTGTGCGTCTTAACAACTCTGTGAAAATTTGAAACAGAGTAACACCTATCTTTATTTCTAGTCCGTTCATCAATGTTTTTGTAGGTATTGTCGTGTACGTGGGTAGTTTTTTAAATGATACGAGACTACGCATTGACTGGTCCAAAGCCTCTGTTTACATAAGAGGACCCTAAATTTAAGCGGAATGATCTTAATAGACTTGATAGGCAATTTGACTTGTGAGTCCATTCAAAGTAAACGAGGCTAGTTTTTTATTGTGTAAATAAATATTCACGTAAAGATAGAGAAAAAGCCAATCACCCTTGGGTCAGTTTTCTCAAAACAGCGGCTTAATAGCACCACGTACAGGTTATGGCTATAACCCAATCGAGAAAGAAGAAATCTCCTTGCTTGGACACTTAAAAATCCTTGTGAAGGATCGAGCCTTGATGCATAAAACACTTGTTTTGCTGTTTATTTTACCTCCGCCTGTCCCGAGTGGAATCTCAAATACGTGACTCACTTCTCCTCCCAACCCACGAGATTCAAGAAATCTTTCTTCGCGTCCTTCTAAAACCGCTGGTGTTATCGTTTTTCTATAGATGTAAAATACGCACACATTGACTACATACAATGGTTAAAGGCGATTATGCGCAACAAACTCATCTTTGCTTACCGTAGTATTGTCTGCGTTGAAAAACTGCGAGGCAAACTTCAGTGAGTAAATGATCTATTTTAAAGCAAAAACTGCGCGTCGCGAACTTCGTGCAAGTCAAGAATATTTCAGTTCACCGAAAACTTCTAAGCGGCGTACTTTTGAAACAAAACTCCTCATCCCTTTTTTCCATTGGTCCGCTCGATAGCTGTGGGGCTTAACAAATTACTGCGAAAATGCTCAAGGGATCATTCTTATAGTAGGTCATCACCAATAAAGAATTGAAGCGGTACAATGGTTTTCAAAACACTTTTCTCTCGATTTCTCTTCTTACCTTCGAAGTGAGTCGTACATTCCCTGTTAACGTAAGAAAACAACTTTCTGTTAGACAACATTGCATGATCACAAAGTGGTGTACATTCCGTTGACTTAACAGAAAGGATATCATACAGTAAGGTATGCATGCATCATTTGAAGTGACAGTCATTCACAGATCTTCACAGAACAGAAACAAAGATCTAATTTCAAAAACAGATCTTTTAGAAAAATCCTCCGTAATGTTTGACCGGAAATCAGGGGTTACTTGGCAGCGACTCTTTAAAACTATAAGAAAGAGAAAGCGGAACCTCGTGCAGGTGTGATTAATTAGACTAAAATCGAAAGGAAAAACCAGTACACGCTCTTCTCTCCTATAACAATACGATAAAGATAGTTCTCATCACGTAACTAACATACAAGGTATTCACCTGTAGCTTTAGATACTGTCTATTCTTCTCCATGATTTTCTCAGACAGTTCATTATTACGCTTTTTAATATCCTCTAGCTCCTTCTTATCATCTGTAAGAAGCAAAACAGTTTTCATGCAAAACATTAATAATAACTACATATTACTGACAAAGAAGTGATATAGCTTTCACATCAACTAATTCTAAATTAATTATTTCATTTATCACTGTTATGAGAAACATTTAGAGGCATCAACTAATTTATTACTATTTTTCTAGTATATAGTAATGTAAGTGCATTCAGTTTTCTAAATGCGCCCTAAAAGCTTTTTATTATCATCATCATTATTATTAATATCATTATTATCATCATCATCATCATCATCATCATCATCATCTTACATAAAGTCTCTTTTCCTCCTGGGAATTCATTTACCATAGGCTACACTAAGCCTATTATTCTTATTATTTCCCCCTAACTGAGCGTCAGAATAATCAATGAACTAATTTCTAAACACTTACTTGATGTTTGGGTTTTCAAGGCTGTTTATAAGTTGAAATGTAGTCAAGGAAATACGTGGGGTATACCTCCAAAGTCTACAAAAGAAAGTTCCCATAAAATGGCACGTCTTGACCGTATCCTTGACCTAGCAGGGAAAGATCCGAAGTTTTCCCCGTCCACGCAATTCAGTAAGACCCTTACACTTTTACTGTGACAAGTATACAATTTGTTATACGCGCATTTACACCAATCTTAAAGATCAAGATGAAGTATATAAAGAACTGCTAACATGACTAACGAACCGCTAAATACAGACAGTAGGATACAGCTCACTTCTGCTTGCACTTTAGAGAGAACTTGACTGTAGTACTGCTCCAGCTGACTGGCCTTCTCTCTTGCTTTGTTGGCGACATAATCCTGGTACATTTTCTCTTGGTGTGTCTATGAAAAAGAGGAAACGAGTTGAGGGTGGAGCTTTTAAGTAATACTTACAATACTATTTGAAAACTCGATAAAATCTGCATTTATTACAACGAATTAAAAATCCCAATGATCTAAAATTACCAAAAATCTATCATTGTAAACTTTCTGGAATCTTTCTGATTATCAACAGTTCCATTTGAACATTTATTCACCATACTAAAGCTACATGGACTACAAGGCAAATATGGAATTATGCAATGAAAGTGTGTTCTTGTGTTGTGATTTGTGAAGTTATCTGATCATAACGCTCTCATTCCCTAAGGTGTTTTACATATCAGAGGCTTTTTTGGGGGATAGTTTTTTCGATAACTCTATGTACAGGACTCAACTAAATCTTAATCTAATTATGAGCTTCAATCCCATTATCTAGTGCTCCAGTGTTGAAATAAAGGTTATAGTGATCATGTGAAGTCACTTGAGCCTTACTGCAATAACTTTAGAATAAATATATGTTCCTCGTATCTAAACATTATACAAAAGTATAGAGCTACACCCATATATTGAAGACAATTAAAGAGGCATTTCTTTCACTAGAGAACTTTTAAAGATTACCTTTCCAGTTTTTTAAGGAACCTAAATTAAATATTCATTACCCTTAATGAAATATTTTGGTGTAAAAATAAAAACAAAACGTTCAACAACCCACATTAATTAGGCTAACATTTTCTCATACAGCTGGTGGGTTTATTTTGCCAAAATGTCACAAAGAACTTACTAGTTAAGAAATACATTAACCCAAACATTTAACATGTGTCTAGCAAAAAAAATTGTCTTTTTTATCAAATTCAAAAAAGCTTTGAAAGTCTTGATCCAGTAGTACTTCAACAAACCCTGCTTACACACCAGAAGCTGCTCAAAAGGTTATAAAGTGACTGATGTACTAAATAAAGAGTAAATTATAGCATAATCATTTCATCACTAAATATCATCACTTGATAAGTCCAGAATGCTAGTGCTCTTGAACAGATTTCCATAATAACCTCAGGTTTTTGACCAGCCAATACCATCTGTGAAATCAAAATAAAGGGCCCGCATCTAAGCCATATTGCATTATAATTGACTCAATAACAGATTAGGACCTGCCACTTTGAGGAGGATCAAATAGGTTTAAAAGTTAAGGCTCATTGTCCGGGTGGGGGGGAAACCTGGGGAACCCGTGACCCCCCTTTTTAAGCCTTTCTTTGCGTAAAACACAGCATGGAGCTTGACATGACAATCCGCTGAGTACCCTCGGTTAGGCTCGGTGTCACCCCCTTTGAAAAATCCTGGTTAAACCCCTGAGAGACTATATAAAAGGTCTTTCATTGAAGGGGGGGGGGGAGTATTTCACTGTTTCCAAGTACCTCTGGACTAGAACACTTAGTTGAGAATTCCACTTCTATATTTAACAATTATTCGCCGAAGGCAAGGTGAATATCATGGAATAATCCCCAAGATGAAGTCGAGGGGATTATGCGACAATATTCACTGAAACTGAGGCGAATAATTGTTTTAGTATAATTTCAGAGCTGAACAAAAGAGAAATCTCTAAAATCATAACATTTTAGTAACATTTATTAACATTTTAGTTTAACATTTTATATAAACCGCAAGGAGCGGTTTATATAGCATCATATAAGGAACCACTCGACCAATCAGATTAATTATACTAATAAGTATTAGTATAATTTCAGAGCTGAGCAAAGAGTTTCCAGCAATCTGATTAGTTGAGCGGTTCCTTATATGACGCTATATAAACCGCTCCACGCGGTTTATATAAAATGTTAAAATAAAATGTTAATAAATGTTACCAAAATGTTATGATTTTAGAAATTTCTCTGTTGTTCAGCTCTGAAATTATACTAAAACAATTATTCGCCTCAGGTTCAGTGAATATTGTTGAATAATCTCCTCGACTTCGTCTCAGGGATCATTCAACTATATTCACCTCGCCTTCAGCAAATAATTGTTAAGTATGGCTAAAACTAACACTATGTGTGGAATTATCAGTACTTCTAAAATAGGTTTCTTTAGTTGATGCAGGGTTAAATACTCTTCAGGACCTAGTCATAATATATTTAACTTTCCATATAAGTACTCTAGCCATTATGTGTTTAAGGCGGCTAGTACTAGTTTCCTCGCACGGGGAACAGGACACTCTTGTGTCATGCGCGAGAGAAATGTGTGAAAGAAGCGCAAGATTAGAAGACGAAAATTCAAAACAAAGATGGCAGCATGAAGCTTTTTTCTACTATTGTACGAAGTTTACCTAACAGCTTGTATTTGATGTGATGAACGGCCACTGCGTATGCAGGAGACAGAAACGAAGATAAAGAAGATGATTCTCGGAGACACAAAGGTTGCTTCACATCTAAACGAAACATCCAAGCGATATGCAATCTTGCGACAACGAAAAAAGAATTCAAGTGAAGGATAATCTGCCTGAAGTGCAAGAAGACTGTGAAACTTCAAGGAAAATAATATAATTTATAGCCAGAAGTTGTGAGTAGGTCCTTTAAGATAAGACTGGGAGGCCGTCTTTGACGGCTAATGAATGATTTTCTAAGCAGCAAACGTCTCTGAACATCAGATTGTAGGTGCTCGTGTGAACACATGCACTAGTCAGCGGTAGCTATAACAGATCATGAGCAAATGTCGATCTTATAGAATCCAGATTTTCAAATGCGTGAGAATGTGTGTGGGAACTGCTAAACTCATGAACGCTATTGCATGAAAACAAGTCCAGTGACCCCTTTTTATTGTTCCAATATGATAATGACGTTGAAAGGAATCGTCAGAAAAAAAACTAGACTATTTTACGAAAGGACATTTGGAATGCGTGAAAATTGCCTTTTGCTAGATTTTCTGAAATTCTGCTCTGTAGAATTTTTTTAAAATATTTGTGCATTTTCCTTCTCAAGTGCCGAAAGCAATCACTAAGAAAAATCACGGGGTCACCAAGTTAGTTTCCAAATTATTTGAGCCATAAGCTAAAAAATGTGTCTGAATAATCCTTTGAAAGCATTGCCATGGAAACTGCTAGTGACGAAATGACACCTATTTTTGGATAACCAATGATTATATAATTCAACCCTGTAAAAGTTTTCACAGGCCTTGGTCAGTCTTTTTGTTGTATTCTTCAAAGATACAAGCCATCAAAAAGATGAAAACTAGTACCAGCCACCTTAAGTCAAAAGGGAACTTCATTTTGTAATAGAATTGATGAAAACGATTCATCTTAAACACTTACTGATTTGAATTGCTCAGAAGCCTGTAGATCAACACGTATGACATCAAATTTTGCAGAAAGATTAGTTTCACCTGATAATGTAGAATAATTAAAAAAGATGAATGAATTAGCTAGTTTACATTTTTCCCTATTAATGTATAGTGGACACTTACTTCTGAGAATCACTATACTTACATGCTGGACAAATGAGGCTCTTGTTAAATTCTCTTGTTCCATCTTCGTCGCAAAATATATCTTGACTCAAAATCAAGGATGCTGCTCTCAAGACAGTAAAAGTACTGTTCATTACTACATCACAAAATGAGCTGAATTGATTGTATTAGCCCCCTTATACTTTTGCTCTGATGAAGGGCTAACACTCAAAACATCAGCTTTTACATTATCAATTCAGTTGATGAAACCAAAATTATCTTGTTATACTCCACCACCAACCCAGCCCCACAGTTTCTTAAGAAACTTACCCCCTCTAGTTAGTCAGTCAGTCTCTAAATGATCAAGACTCCGCAACCCAATCATGCAGTCCATCAATCAAACAATGAATAAAAGAATCAATCAGTAACATTGACAGAAGCTCAGTTGTACATAAAAATTCTGCCATAAATTTTGTATAAAACTTTATCTATCATAGAGCCAGTTTTGATCAGGTGGGATGAAGAGAGAGCTTGGTGTAGTTCTTATGACACTGTGCACACAGTTTGATTAAATTTGTCAATCTTGCTAAATTTAAAAAAATGCCACACAGTCACATATTCATTCAAAGTCTCTCTTAAAACACATAATTTTACACTGATATGTACATGATGATTTTAGAACCATTTTGATTTTATCCCCCCCGAAAAAAAAAACCCTTTAGACTGCCTTCTTTTATAAACATGTGCTTATTTTACAACATTCAATGATTTACCCACCAGATCTTTCAACTAGAAACGAGAAATATTTTCAAAGTAAAGCTCACATTGTAAAAGGATACGAGAGCAAGATGTAACCTGGATATTTTGAAGATTAAAAATAAAAAATCACCTCAAAACATGTAAAATAAAATATCATTAAAGGAATTGTGGCATAAACTTTAACAAATTGCTTACCCAAGCGTGTGTATTCAGCCTCTTTCTACACTTCCTAAAATTGCAGAGTAAGTCATTATCCATTTTTCAATTCTTTGGTAAAACGTGATCAACATCAAAGTCTTGAAAGCCTAAAACAAAGATAAAAAATGAGAACGATAAACCACAAGAGGTCGAGCTCTGATCTTGTCTTGACATAAAAAATTTCTAGGTACAAGGATAACTTTGTGCTAATCTCATCAATCTTGACTAATGGAGCATTATATTTCGTACTCAGTTCAAATCAAGAAACAGGCCTTTAAAGTATTTCCAAGTTAAGCCTATCTGTTAATTACATGTGTATGTGTTAGGAGGCCCTGTTAGGGAGGTATAGATGTCGCCCGTCTGAATTTCAAACTTTGTCACGTCTCCATTTCGGAAGGTCCTGATGTCGCTGACGCAATTTCATCAATGTCGTGCTCGAAGTCGCATTTTCATTTCCCCGATGTCGCTGTTTCAACGCCATGTCGCCCGTCGGAATTTACCCCTATCAGTGCCTCTGTTATGAAATTGCCGCAAGCAAGTTCGTCAAGGCATCCCAAAACAACTGTCATGACGCCTTGAATTACGCGTACAAAATTTAGCAAGCGCTGTTCCTCGGGAAAATATTTGTAAAAACAAAAAAGCGCTCATAGTCTCAAAAATCAGAGCTTTAAAAACTACAAATATCCCTAATCGTCTTGATAAATTGATAGGTTTACTGAAAACCGAGAAAATGTAAATCTCATAAGTTGTTAGTGAACACGTCACTTTGAAGTCTGGAAGTTATTGTAGTTTATTTTGGTTTTTATCCTAAATAAAATTGTCACTCAGTGTCTTATCTGAATAAATAAACAGGAAATTCTTAAATAGCAGTTCTTACCGTAGCTTAATCCAGAAAATCGATGGCCTTTTTCATTAAAAATCCAGCAGTTCACGCTGTCTCCCAAAGTTTGCGTGACGAATGACGCATGCTCAGTGGGTCAGTTGGCCAGCTGTACTGGTCGGCCAAGTCCGTCTCATTCTCACCCGGTCGAACACTTCGAAACGTGTATGGATGCTTTGACCGGTCGTCACTTATTTCCATCCACCAAACTGACGTGACGTCATATGATCTCCCGTGAACATCTTCGGTTAATGCGTCGGAACCTTCTCGTGAAAACAAACATGACGGATGATCCTGCCGGATTCCCATCGTTTTGTGAGCTTTTCAGGGGCATATTTTGTTTCGCTTGGTTCATAAAACAGGCTTCTGATATATTTCAATAAATCTTGAAAACTTGGGGTATTCTTTTCCAGGGTAAAGCTGTTTAGATTCCAAAGGCGGAACAACGTCAGTTTGATAGATGGCGTGACAACCTGTGTATCTTTCCATCCATGAAACTGACGTTCGGCAACAGGCGATCGAGCACGAAAATTTTCGGTAATGTGCCGAATGGCTTTCTCGCAATTTCGAAGATTTTCCCGCAACCAATTGTTGTTTGGCGGGCTTTTTCGAAAGGAAATTATAATAAGGTTTCCTCGTCCGCGAGATCTGGAAGTTTACAGAGTGTTTGTTATGGCTTTGCCAGCAAATGCTGAAGAAAGCGGTTTAGCTGAAGGCATGCATTTAGAAAGTAAGAACGACAATGCTACTGAATCCTAATGTACTTGGCAGGCAATGTTAAGAGGTTCATCATACAAGTATGTTGGCTACGTTAAATCAGTTGAAGAAGCTATGGCTGTACTGAGGGAATATGAACTGGAAACTACATCAAAATTCTCTTGTTTTAAATCCGACAAAATGTTTGGAGCTGGAGGTAAGACAAAAAAAGACATAAAAAATTGCGAAAATAATAACCTTAATTATCAACACATTAAAATAACAATAAGAGTAATAATTATGGAAAGTTCTTTTAGCCATTCTATTATGTCCTGATCAGTAAGTGTATCTAACCAAGCACTAAACATAGAATTACAGAGTGTGGGTGGTACAGTGATGTGAATATATGTTGTGGGCATGAGAGGGGGTCTTATAAACAGCGTTATCCCTTCAGTAGCTTGATGAATTTATCAATCTATCATAAGTTTTAAATATTTTTCTCATAAATCCTGTTATTAGGTAACTATAGAATTTCTCTTAGTCGTTATATAAATATTAATGTAAACAGCACCTTTTTTTTCCTTTCTTGTGTCCACTAATTAGTAAGGGATCTTCCCAAGCTAGGTTATTGACACTCTTAATGAAGTTTTCCATCCATCCATCCATCCATCCATGCATGAATGAAATATCATTCTTTGAATCTCTGAAATAGTAGCTGGAAAAGCTGTGACATAAATTGGGTTGAAAGTAGTGTAGGTAGCACACCAGGATGCAATGGAGATTATAATTAACATAAATGTAATGAAAGGTCTCCTTTGTTTCCACGGCACAGATCCCTTTGCCAGGCAAAGGAAAGTGTATTTTAAGGATGATAAAATTCCATTTGATGGAGTACCCTTCAGTATAATTGCCACCAAGGTGTTTGACTGCCAACATGGGCCAGACAGGAAAAAGTCATTTAAAGCAAAACATGCTGAAAACAAGGTATTTTGGTTGTGACTAACAAAGTCTACATTATCCTTTTACGTACAACCTTTTTGTGCTTTTAACACAAAGAGGCAAGGGGCTTAAAATATCAATTTTTTATTTACAGATTGATGATCACTCCTTTACAAGGAAGCGGTTTTTACCTCAAGTCAGAATGAAGTTTGGTTGCCCAGCAAGTATTCGGTTATCAGAAGTGGTAAAGTATTACAATTACAAGGTACAAAACTGCAATCACCATACTGTTTACATCCATAAATTTGATATTTTATTCCTGCTCAGTAAAAGAAGGTCTCTTAATTTGAATGATTATTTCTGTTTTGGCTTAATTACATAGATCAGGGAGAACACAGAAAGACTAAGAAGAGACATGTCCAAAAAGCTCAAGACTGATATAACTGATGGTCAGAAACCAGAGTTTGAACGTAGAATATATATCCAATTACCAAAAGGGGATGAACACAGGGATCACAACATTGGAAAGGTTTGTTGATGCCAATGAAAATAACTGTCACAAGTTAGCCTAATAACAATTATATTAATAATTTTTGTTTTGGCTTCTTTGTTTGTATAATGGCCGATTACACAGGTGAAGGCTTAACAAGTAGTTGCCTTGGACTGAATTAGAGGTTGATAAAATTCTACACATAAATGAATTTTACTAAAGAACATAATTTTGACTTATTCGCTTGTTAAAGTTGTTCTGTCCCATTGAATAATTAAATTGGCATTTTACTAGTAGCTACAACTATCAGCGTAACAGTTTTGATATATCTTTCTCTAAAATTGTGGTCCCATTTTCATTTTTTCCTTCATGAATCAAAAAACCAGGTTGGTGGTATTCTGCAGCCCATTGACAAAAGGCTTGTACACAAGATCGGAGAGCTTGTTGGCGAAGGTGTGAAAACTGTGGACGAGATGAAAAGACATCTTCGGCAATTTGTAAAGACTGAACTGTTCCCAGAGCAAACTCCACCATCATCTACAAATAGACGATATTATCCAACAGATGTGGATGTAAGGAACCACATGTACCAGGCCTCAGTGAAAAAACTGCTGTCCAAAACTGATCAGGAGAACCTTGAAAAGAAAATTAAAAGTTGGCATCAGGAGAAACCTCAAGATTCATTCTATTTTAGACCCTGTGCACTATCATTGTCATCAATCTATGCTGAAAGCAACAGTGATGACAAAGATGGAACTTGTATGCAAGATGATCTTCTATTTGCTCATCAAACAGCCTGGCAGAAAAATCTTATGGTCCGTTATGGAAATGAAATCACCCTTCTTGACGCAACATACAAGACAATGCGATATGAGCTCCCTCTATTTTTTCTAGTGGTGAAGACAAATGTAAATTACATAGTTGTTGGTTCTTTCATCATTCAAAGGGAAACCACAGCTTTAATACAGGAAGCACTAACAATCTTCCATGACTGGAATGCCAACTGGAAACCCAAATTCTTTATGACTGACTTTTGCCATGAGGAGATCCATGCCATTGAGAGCACATTCAAAGGTAACAATGACTTATTAATAAAGGTCTAATGTTTACAAAGTGAGAGAACCTACATTGAAATTGTAGCAAACTAAACTTAGTCCCTAGGGAGAATCGAATCAAAGTAAGAAAACTTTACAATTCTCTTTTTAATCAAAACCTTGCTTTACTTAACTTGAATTGTTTTCAGTAGAGTGTACTGATCAGTAAGACTTTAATTAGAAAGGGTGACAAACTACCAGGTTTCACTGGTGGTTCCAAAATTACCTAAATATGACATACATTTCATACTAATTAAAAATATATATATTACTGAATCAAAAATATAAAAATGATGGTAGCACAGTGCTACATGACCAATATGAAAATTAGAAAAAGAGAAACAAGGAAAGCAGATACTAAACAGTATGACAAAAATGGTGCATGAATTAAAATTATTACTTAAAATAGGTTGCTATAAAGTTGTGAAGAAGTTACAGACGTATGTTTGTGCAAGGCTTCATTAGATTAGGCCCTGCTCATTAAAAATGCTTGCAAGATGTTGAAAGAGTTAAAGTAACAACTATACAATCCTAATACCCTTGATCCATCCTTGGGATTCGAAAACAAGGGCATACATTTGAACCTTAGTACTTAGGTCTTCAGTTAAAGAAGTAGCGGTAGATATTTCCACGTAGGCAAAACTACAAAGTTAAGCTTACAGTAGGCTGATACCATAGGGGTTACCTCCTACATAGTGCTTAATTATCTAATCTTTCAAATGACTAATGTACCAACTCTCTCAAATGTAAATGTACATGAATTTTCCCTTTTAATTTGGTTTAACAGATACAACTACATATATTTGTGACTTCCATCGTGAACAGTGCTGGGAAAGATGGCTACGAAAGTCTGAAAATGGGTTGACTGACAACAGAGAAGAGGTCCTATCATTGCTACGTAACATTGCAAAATCATCAACAGAAGAGTTGTTTGAAATAAATTTGTCTTCCCTCAAGGAGAGTGCACTTTGGCGGGCTAATCCCAAGCTCAGGAAGTGGTTTGAAAAAACTTGGCTCATAGAGTCTGAGGTAAGAAATGAAATATTGCCCACCGCACATAGTTTTTCACTTCTCTGTGATACCCTGTGAGTATGAACAGAACAAAAACTTGCCTCTGGAGGCTTACCTCTTTTTTACCTGACATGCACAACCTTTTCTAACTTATTCATGTATAAGCAATCATGAATTGATACTGTGAGCTGTTAACATGCATCAACACCAATTCATTTAAAAGTTCAAGTTTCCTGTACTTTGTTTAACATTACAGCGATGGGTGTGGGCTTTCAGGCGAGACAGATTTATGTTAAATATCAACACCAACAATGGCATTGAGCGACAGAATGAGTCCTTGAAATACCAGTACCTGAAGGACCGAAATAACAACAGCCTCAGTGGGATGATTACAACATTAATTGAGGAATTTTTACCAGACAAATACAGAAGGTACAAGTAGATACTAGAAGTGCAGTTAGCAAATTCAAAAAATTCCCATGCTCACTGTATGTATTAAGGTGGGTCAAACCTTTTCTCTGTACATTCCACCATGTATACTTTGATGGATCAATATTTCCACTCTTTATCAGTTGATGCTATTATTACTGGAACCAAATGAATGCACCATCCTTGCTTAAAAGTTACAATAATTTTCTCGGCAAAACAGGTTACTAGCAACATTATAGCCTATTGAAAACACACCTCATTTTAGCTTTCTATTGTTAGAACTCAAAAACAAGCTCAGCTGTGACCCCTCTTTTTATTATTGATCTATCATCATTATGCTACATTACACCTCAAATTTTGAATTATTTAAGATAGCTTCCAAAATATATTTTTAAAGTTTTCAAGTTACATCTTAGCATACTGATTAAAATTTGATAATAAAAGCTTGTCTTTGAGTTATAACCAGTTAAAGCCACAGGTTACTCCATGTTGTTCACCTATTATGTCAAGAAAATGATCATAATTACTTTTGTTAAGTAAGGGTTGCATTTTAGTTTGGAAACAGTATTATAGCNGCAACAGTTTGTCATCAACAGTCAGCAAAGGTCAGTCATCAACAGTCAGCAACAGTTTGCCATCAACAGTCAGCAACAGTTTGTCATCAACAGTCAGCAAAGGTCAGTCATCAACAGTCAGCAAAAGTTTGTCATCAACAGTCAGAAATGGTCAGTCATCAACAGTGAGCAATAGTCAAACATCAAAAGTCAGCAATGGTCAGTCATCAACAGCCAGCCACAGTTCATCATCTACAGTTAGCAAAGGTCAGTTTGGCAAATCTACTTTAGGAAATACCATAATTGTTG